TCTTTCTTTCTTTCTTTCTTTCTTTCTTTCTTTCTTTCTTTCTTTCTTTCTTTCTTTCTTTCTTTCTTTCTTTCTTTCTTTCTTTCTTTCTTCATTTCTCCATTTCTCTTTCACAGGCTAAGCCTCTCTTGTTTTTCCTGGCTCTGTTGTGAAAATACCGGCCACAGTTTTGGCTTGTGCAGTGTAGACACTTGGCCAAAACAATCTGCTGAAAAGCAATGCAGCAAAATGCTTTTTAACCTACACATTCACCACTCGCCATGTGAGTAACCACACCCACTGCCCCATTTCGTGGCTTTAAAACAACATGGGTTTGCCCCCAGAACTGTTTGATTTATTTGACAAGGTTTTGCGAGCCAAGTCTATCAACATTGGAAACGTTCTGAGGCTTGGTTTCTGGCAGCGCAAGTACAGCTGCACTCTAATCGCTCTCTCTGCCTCTATTAAAGTCGACAAGGTGAATGCATTGTGCCTTCAGTGAGACTTCTTTAAATAAACCATCAGCTTTGCAAAATAAACAGATAGTACTTTGAAACACATTTGTGCAAAAAAAAAAAAAATGAAAGAAATCCATCCCAACTCTTTTCCAAATGAATAATGATGCAGAATGAGGACATTTTACTATTACTTTGCAGCATCCTTTTTAAAAAAAAAAATTCTATGTAATCATTGAGAGGATCTGGTAATAAAACATGTCCATATTATTCCTACCAAAGTGATGCATTTCTTTCAAATGTAAAATTATATGCCTAAAGTAGTCCCATAATGCTATATGTCCCTGCATCCTACTCCAGAAAGCAAGAGAGAGAGAGAGAGAGTAGATGGGGATCAAGAATGGGAAAGAGAAACCACTATGACTGACAGTAGACAAATGTATAGGTGCCACTAATGAACAAATCACCCATGATAAAGAAAAATAATAATAACATTCTTCTCTGTCATGCCACTAGGAATTCATCTCATAGTGATTTTCAGAGACTGTTAATCACCCCAAGGACTACCCAGTTTCTATCTTGAGAAAGGGCAAAAAAAATTGCTATGCAGACTTGTTGGCTTTGACTCCTGATTTTTGTTAGAGTTGGCAGTAACCTTAATGGTAAATTGATGTTGTATGTGTGGATTCCCCTATACATACTTTTCTAAGGTAATATAAAATAAAAGCTTCAGCACATGGATGTCTAACATTGGTCCTGCTCTCAAAGAACTTGTATATTGCTTTTGAATATCTAAACATACAAAGAATATAAAAAGTAAAAAAAACAACCACGTGTCAGCAAATTGGCAACCACTAATTCATAGATATCCTCTAAGAATCAATGGAAAAAACTATTTGTATTTTGAACAATATTTGGTAGATCTGCCTGGATTTGTTGCGCTATGTAATTTCAGTTAAAATGTTGATCAAACATTCACTCCCCTTATAGAATCCAGTTATAATTTTGGATATCAACATTCCAGTAAAGTGACTTATTTATATAGCAGGTTCTTGGAACTTCCAACAATCAACACATCTCTAGTTTTATCAACATGCACAGAGACCTCTCAGGTATACATTAACATCATAGCATAATATTATGACAATGGCATCCTTCTGATCTGTGAAAGAGGCAGTTCTTGCTTTGGCAAAGGATCCTTAGCCCATATCGGAGAGGGAGGTCGAAACTCTGGCAAATCCCAGAGAGCCAAAGCAATTAAAGATTAAGCCAAAAAAGACTTGTTACAACTCAGAGGCTTGGTTGGATCTCTGCCATTTGACCCCTGTACTGTCTCTAGAAATCTACTGTTAGGCTTTGATGCTCTCCTCTTGCAGTTTTCAGACCCTAATTGTTATAAAGCAGCTGGCTACTTCTAGCAAGCAGACTGCTTGGTGGTCTTACTAGTTCTGCATCAAGATGCCACCCAGCAGGGATCTTCATGACACCCAAACAACTTGTACACTTGTCTTCAAAACAGGATCAATACAAAATAACATAGTTTACATGTATTCTGTATGCCAATGGGAACCAGTTCTTATAGCCTCAAATTTCCTACTGCAAAAAGAATTCAAAATGTGAAACAACAAATATATGCAAACATATCTATGATACAAAAAAAAAGCTACCGTAAATCTTTCAGTTTTGTTCTGTTATTTCCCTTAATGTGTGATTGGGTCCTTCTGCAACTCCATTACTTCAGCCACCTTAAATATTAGTAGTTGATAAAATACTTATTTTTTCTCTTGTTCAGAGCTTATAAATTCAGCCAAATGTCAACCTTGAGTTTGAACACAAATGTATTTTTGTTTGAAAAAATAGCTGTTCTGTCATAAGCTGCCTGCAAACTGCCTCTATTCAAATGAACAGACTGTATTATGTTTGGAGCAAATTTAAATACCCCACCTGGAATTACCGCCCAAACACACAGCTTGAGCTCCTATGAGTACCCCAGAAAATGCTCTCTGATATAAAATGAAACCTAAAGGCTTGAGGCCAAATTTTTTTGGCAATAGTTGCTGTAAGAAACTTTGTAAGGTATTTGTAAATATAGTGTTGGGGGAGTATCTACTTTCATAAATGAGAATTACATTCTTTTTTTCCTCTAAATCACTTGAAACAGGAATAGAAAATATACAGTGACCAAAAGGCCCATTCAAATGCATTTATTCTTTCTAATTCACACATGGATGCAAATAGTGTAACAGGAAGATTCAGCAATGACTCCTATCTCATACTACATCATGATGTACACCAGTTTTTCCCAAACTTGATAACTTCAAGAGGTGTGACTCCAAAATTTTGGGAAATCTGGTAATTGAAGCACATACCTCTTAAAATTGCAAAGTTTGAGAAACACTGATATATATCATACATAGATTCCACAGAGAAATAAATCTTCATGTAAGCCACAGGAATGTATTTGATACACTTATAGATCTTCTAGTTATTTCAGCTAAATTGTCAAAGAATCACAAAATGCAGAAAAAATACACATACAGTACACATAAAGTGTAATCATATTAACTGTATTAATCTTAATTCTAATCACAACTGCCAAAATTGAATCTGCTACGCTGTGTCTATCATCTGGAGAGAGCTTGTTGAGACTGCCATCTTCTCTTGAAGTAAACAAGATGTGAATGAGATGACAGATCTTCTCTGTGGTACTCTCTTTTTGGGAAACTCTCTTCTTCTATATATACTCTGCACTGTTCTCCTTGCTTTTCTGCAAGCAAGTGAAAACTATCCTTTCCCATTGTCTCTTTGGCCTAAGTTGATTATGGACAATTTTAATGATGCCTATTAGACATCATCATCATCATATTTGATTGGATATTGTGAGAATAGTTCAACTATTTTATATATATATATTTGTTGTTGTTATTTAACATAATGTGTTTAGATTGCACCGGATACTCTGGTTTTGCTGCCACATTTTGAACAAATTATTTTGGCCAAGTGTTCTCGCGGCCCAAACTAAAATGGTTAAATGAATAAAATTTTATTTTTGAAGTAGCCACATTCACTTGTACTTGTTAGAACCATTTCCTTTGGGAAATGCAACTCCCAGTCCATCATCAAAAGCTAAATGGGATCATTAGTCTGAAAAATGTTGCCTGCTCTAATTAGACACGCCAGATCTTTCATGAGCCTAATTCCTGAGTCTAGTGTCTGGACAGTGCAGGGGTAGACTTTAGGTCCCCGTTAGCTGTCTTCCATTTTGAATAACTGATTGCTGATTCTTTGATGTTTCTGGCTTAGCCTTAGAAGATAGCACTAGAAGAATAAAAAGAAATGGTTTAGGATAGCAGATGCAGTTTCACTTTTGCATAAATTATCAGTAAAGTGTCTTAGTTCATGTTGCTCTATTTATATCTATAGCAACAAAAATAATCCAGTGATGATGGCATCTCAGCTGCATATGCCTGTTATGCATTTTGTTTGTTTCCCAATGCTATGTTCTGCAATTATATTTGTGAAAAGCTGTTGTAGCTGTGGTAGACATTGTAATCATCTTTCTTAAAATGAACCAAATATTCCAAGGCTCTTGAGTATGCTCATTCACATATGTATGTAGGTGTATATTTAACTATTTATGACTTCACTTTGCCTTGACAATCAAATCCGCTTCTGGTGGAAATAAACTCCAGACTCAGTTATGTGATTCCATTTATCTGTTCTGGCTCCCATGCTGGCACCAGCAAGTATAAATATATCAGCACGATGTATTCCAAAGATGACTTGTTCTCACATATAAATTCTTTTTGCAATTAGCAAACATGAAATCTTGTGACAAATGGTTCGCAGATCCTTCTATTCAGGACTGGAAAACTCAGCAGGACTACAAATGTCTCCCAACCTGAACCCATGTTGAATTGCATTCCATTTGTAAGTTTGTCAAGTTCTTTTTAATTTCACTTAAAGGGTATCATAATTGCAGGAGCTATTTTGGTTACAACAGCATTTAAAAAAAAACAATGTTTGAAAAGATGTCTCTTAGAACATACATAAATGTCTTTTGCTTTTTCTTCCAGACGGTTTTGGGTTATGAGATAGGTTTAGAAATAGGAGTAATCATTTGTTTACTCCTGGTTACTTGGTTGAAAAAAGTTGCATTGTTTTCTTTATGCCATAATAGCCTATCCAAAACAGGAAAACATGGTTCATGAACAAGGAAAGAAAATGGGTTTAATAGTTAACTAACCTTTAACCTATTTATTTTTACCAATAGTATAGCTGATTGGCTTATAATTGTTGACTTACTTATAAATATCCAGAATGTAGAAACAAAATAGCCATGATTCAATACAAGAGTACAATTTTATGTACACTGAGATCAGAGGGTTAAATGAAGTACCCATAGTTCTTGCTGTATTATGGATAATGTACAAAATGGATAGGTCTCTTGCTTTATGCTTAGTGAATCTAGTAATCATTCTCAGTTTGGTTTGCAAAGAAACAGTAGACAAGGAAAACTGGTATTCTGAAGGAAAAGAAAACACAATTCCTTCCAAAGTATTTTAAGAGGGCTATACACAGCTGTACACATTTTATTTCTTAACAAGAAAAGAGGTTGTAACTGAATAATTTGACATTGTTGACGATATGAAAACATGGAACAAAAGTATTGATTCAAGAATTTGCTGAAGGAAAGAATCCAGACACTCACTGGTGTACTTTATTATATTTTTAAGGATACATGAACTGTTTATTGAGGAAAGCTTGATTTGGCACTTTTGCCCTGGCATCTAGGAAAGTGTTATTTGTGTTGTTAATTTTACATCATGCCCACTTTAATTGAATTGGCTGCTAAATAGAGCCAGGAATAATGGCGTTTAAAAAAGAAAATTGCAGTAATCTTCAGAAAGCTGTTCTATAATGGAGAAATCTAATTAATTTAACCCTGCAGACTTCCATAATGGCAGCACTTTATCATTTCCACAGATGGAAGTTGAAGGAATTAACAAAGGTGTTGTTTCTTTGTTTTGTTCTGGCAGCAGCCGAAGACTTTCCCTACA